CTCGTGTGGCATGTGACACGAGTCGTGTGAAGCGTCACACGACTCGATTTCACACGACTCGATTGAAGTCGAACTAGTACAATTGAAGTCGAATTCGTACAGTTGAAGTCAAATTCGTACAATTGAAATCAAATTCGTGAAGACTTGAGTATGAAATTGGTAGCCGGAATTTTCACGCTGCGCAAGTAACTGTCCAACTGCAAAGCAACTAATTCAATTAGTACAATTAAAGTCAAATTCGTATAACTGAAGTCAAATTAGTACAATTGAAGTCAAATTCGTACAATTGAAGTCAAATTCGTACTATTGAAGTCAAATTAGTACAATTGAAGTCAAATTCGTACAATTAAAGTCCAATTAGTACAATTGAAGTCAAATTAGTACAATTCAACTCGAATTAGAATAATTGAAGTCAAATTAGTACAATTGAAGTCAAATTCGTACAATTAAAGTCAAATTAGCACAATTGAAGTCAAATTCGTACAATTGAAATCAAATTAGTACAATTGAAGTCAAATTCGTACAATTAAAGTCAAATTCGTACAATTGAAGTTAATTTCGTACAATTGAAGTCAAATTAGTATGATTGAAGTCAAATTCGTACAGTTGAAGTCAAATTCGTACAATTGAAATCAAATTCGTGAAGACTTGAGTATGAAATTGGTAGCCGAAATTTTCACGCTGCGCAAGTAACTGTCCAACTGCAAAGCAACTGATTCAATTGGTACAATTAAAGTCAAATTCGTATAACTGAAGTCAAATTCGTACAATTGAAGTCAAATTCGTACAATTGAAGTCAAATTCGTACAATTGAAGTCAAATTCGTACAATTGAAGTCAAATTAGTACAATTGAAGTGAAATTCGTATAATTGAAGTCAAATTCGTACAGTTGAAGTCAAATTCGTACAATTGAAATCAAATTCGTGAAGACTTGAGTATGAAATTGGTAGCCGGAATTTTCACGCTGCGCAAGTAACTGTCCAACTGCAAAGCAACTGATTCAATTAGTACATTTAAAGTCAAATACGTATAACTGAAGTCAAATTAGTACAATTGAAGTCAAATTCGTACAATCGAAGTCAAATTCGTACAATTGAAGTCAAATTAGTACAATTGAAGTCAAATTCATACAATTAAAGTTAAATTAGTACAATTGAAGTCAAATTAGTACAATTCAACTCGAATTAGAATAATTGAAGTCAAATTAGTACAATTAAAGCCAAATTAGTACAATTGAAATCAAATTAGTAAAATTGAAGTCAAATTCGTACAATTAAAGTCAAATTCGTACAATTGAAGTTAATTTCGTACAATTGAAGTCAAATTAGTATAATTGAAGTCAAATTCGTACAGTTGAAGTCAAATTCGTACAATTGAAATCAAATTCGTGAAGACTTGAGTATGAAATTGGTAGCCGGAATTTTCACGCTGCGCAAGTAACTGTCCAACTGCAAAGCAACTGATTCAATTAGTACAATTAAAGTCAAATTCGTATAACTGAAGTCAAATTAGTACAATTGAAGTCAAATTCGTACAATTAAAGTCAAATTCGTACAATTGAAGTCAAATTAGTACAATTGAAGTCAAATTCGTACAATTAAAGTCAAATTAGTACAATTGAAGCCAAATTAGTACAATTCAACTCGAATTAGAATAATTGAAGTCAAATTAGTACAATTGAAGTCAAATTCGTACAATTAAAGTCAAATTAGTACAATTGAAGTCAAATTCGTACAATTGAAATCAAATTAGTACAATTGAAGTCAAATTCGTACAATTAAAGTCAAATTCGTACAATTGAAGTCAAATTAGTATAATTGAAGTCAAATTCGTACAGTTGAAGTCAAATTCGTACAATCGAAATCAAATTCGT